AAGACAAGCCAAGGCGCAGCCCCTCCCCTCCCCAACACCTCTCCTCCTCCATACGTGCTTGGCGAAGCCCTGTCGGAGTACTTCTGCACCAACTACACCACGCCGTCGTGCTACCGTTGGAGCTGCCTTCCTCAACCTCTCCTTCCTCCTTGCTGGATCAAGACGGAGGAGACGTCGCCCGTACCGTACGTGTGTTGAACGCGGAGGTGCTGTCCGTTCAGCACTTGGTCATCGGTGATCCGAATCACGTCGAGTACGACTCCATCATCACCTACCCCTTGAACGCTTCCGCACTCGATCTACAAGTGGTATGTAGATGCAAACTCACTCCCTTGACTCGTTGCTTAGATGAACTCATAGATGGATCTTGGTGAAACCGTAGGAAAAATTTTAATTTTCTGCAACGTTCCCCAACAATATAGTGGCATAATTTTTTAATTTTTATTGTCCCAAAATATATTTATCTGTCGATCCATATCTTCCACACTCCATTGCATTTTTTTTGTCGATAATGACTCTGCTATAACTTTGCATGGTGTGCACCTTTGAATAATTTGTCATTTTCTTAATTCTCCATATGAGTGGTACTAATAGTACCATTTTCATGACAATAGTTGATAGCATGTATTTTCCATTTAGCTGGTGAGATGAATGAGATTGATTATGTCATCGAATCGCCTTTTCCCTTCTGTTGATGTGTGTGTCTGTCTTTGTACCTAAGTTTCGCAAACCTACTCTAGACTCTTCGATCCTAGGTGCAGCACGAGGATCAGGGGCGCAAACAGCAGTGAAGGATGAACCGATATAATGGAAGAGGTATATTGGAGCCTAACTAGTTTGATGCCAATATTTGCCATTGCCGATATTTGGTGAAACTAAAAATTGCCAAAAATCGGTAACTTTTCTGGAGAGTGGCAAGAGCCAATTAGTAGCTATCAATTGCTATTTGGCAACTTTTTTAGTGAGTGGTAAGAACCAATTGGTAGCAAATCAATTGCTAGCCAATATTTTGGATTTGTCAATATATGGCATGCCAATTATTGGCCTCGCCAATTAAGCTTTTAACATACTACTAGTTTACCATAATCTTACCTTTTTCCAATTTTTTCGTGCGAGTTAGCTTGTTCGGATTTAATCTAGTTGCTACACTTATAGAGCACAATCATTTGTTGATCGTTATTTACTTTCATTGGATACATATAGTAGACTTTATGAAAAAAAAGATTATTTGAACTAAGTACACTACAACAAAAGGAGTTCACTGTAGAGGGAAGATCCAAAAAACTTCTTTTTAACAAGACAAAAGCAGTTCTCCATTATCAACCGCACAAATTCTACTCTCAATGACTCTTTTAGGAAATTGTGACACATTAATTAACGCTTGTTCATCTTTGCTTGCTCATATACCCCCAGCCCAACCCCCCACACACACCACATTCAGAAGTCACAAGATGAGTTTACAGTAAATTAATGCGCATTTGAGGACTTTTCACACCATGATTTCCTAGCCCTTTGGGGTACCAAAGAAGATGGGAAGGCAACATTATAGTCAATAAAGTGAGAAGGCAAATGATAAAACATATATAGTGGATGACGACCCACATGTTAGCAAAAAAGCACTTAACATAATGATAAAACATGGATATATCAATAGAGTCGAGTCAAAATCATAAAGTAAAGTGAGTGTGCGAACTGTGTACGGTGAGTTCCCGGGAAAAAAACTATATATATATATATATATATATATATATATATATATATATATATATATATATATATATATATATATATATTATGGTGTAAGATAAGAATGGTTTCCTAGTTGTGGCCAACATGTAGCCCAGGACCACGTACATGTCAGTTAGACATGCACGTACAGAATGGCAAACCCTGAAACATCATTTGCACTATTCAAATCTGAACCGTAGCATAGCTATTGCAGAAGTACATTGTGGAATTAAAGGTGGAAAATGGAGATCTTGTTATGATTATTTTCTCAACTCAAAGGAAATTTGTTGTACGTGATATAAACTGTGAGAATAAACACAATTTCTTACTCGTATAATATAAGCTACTCTAGGGTTTGTCCATATCAAAGAATTAATGCGCGTGTGTACAAAGTGCATCTAGATGTACCATGCATGCGTGAATGTAGGTACACAGTTCCGTTTAGTACGTCAGATGGTAGAGCACAGAATACATGTATGTACTATATTAACTACCTAGATGGTACACACGTATCATTCAGCCATGTACCTACCTATCAAGTTATGAGGTTGAAACTCACCCAATGCTAACTACTCCCTCTGTCACACGTATCATTCAGCCATGTACCTACCTATCATTCTTTACGGATGGAATACTATACATTTACATCGAATAAGGAACCA